CGCCACGCCGTCTCCGGTTCCCTGGGGCACCCCTGGCAACTCCCGTCCCCCCGGCCTTGTGCCGCCCGCTCCCTGCGCGTCGGGGCATCCCCGCACCAACCATCCCAGTGCCCCGGGCAGCTCTTGTTAGCTCCAGGGCACCCCAACTCCTCCCTGCCCCCGTTAGCGCCGGGGCACGCCATCGCCTCCCTGCCCCTGTGTCCCGGGGGACACCATCGCCTGTCTGCCCCCGTTATCCCCGGGGGACCCCATCTCCTCCCAGCCCCCGTTAGCCCCGCGGCACCCCATCTCCTCCCAGCCCCTGTGCCCTGCACATCAGGGTGCTCGCATTGCCCCTGGCTCTGTGCCCCGCCAATCCCCAGGGCACCCCCATCGCTCCTGTGTCCCTCACAGGGGGGGTGTGCTGGGACACCGCTGGTGCAGCTGGGCACCCACATGCCCAAAGTGCTGGGGTCCCCCTGTTCTCCCCACGCCCCGGGGCTCACACTGCCAGCCCCCGCGATGTGCCACGCTCCCCACTTGCCCCAGGGGTGGTCCCCGGGTGGGTGCTGGCCCCTGGTATGAGTGTGTGAGTGCAGGGGCTCCGCGACCTCGGGCACAGCCGGGGCAGCGCCCGGCTCCTGGCCCTTGTGTGGGCCAACGGGTCACAGTCGCGCTGGTCTCAGTTTAGCGTGGGGACACTGTGTGCTGTGGGCAGGTGCTATCCGAGGGGGACTCTTGGACGTGCTGAGCTGTGGCATTCTGACACTGAGCTCAGGGTCAGCCCACCCGGAGAAAAAAACTATTTCACAAGGCATTTATTTCCTAAATTGGATTACACATGTTTTTTTCCTTTATGTGGGGGGATGCCACTGACTGGGAGGCCTTGAATCAAGATCATCACCCCGTGCTTTGTAAACAGCACCTGCGATCACAGCAGCAGGAAGAGAAGCAAAGAAGAAATATTTCTCTTTATTTTGTCAGGTTACTTGGTGCATTTGACAGTGCTCTGTGTAATCGGGTTCCCTATTTCCTCTATGTAATCAGCTCCTTGTTGTGTGAGTTACCTTGCAGAATTCAAGAGAGCAAAACATTTTAGCATATTAAAGAAAAAGCGTAACTTTTTTTTTTTAAGCCCACAACAATTGGCAGCTTTGAGTAGCTGGGCTTGTTTGTTTTGTCTTGTTGATTCGATTACAAGTTGATGGTGACTTGGCATTCGTGTGCAGTGCTGAGAGCAGCGTGTTCCCAGCGGTGCTGTGGGGCAGAGGTACATTTTTGCCTGTCACTGAAGCACCTGGTGCTCTGTCAGCAGAAAAAAGATTCAGTGCATCAAATTCAGGGCATGAGGGAAAAGTAGCACCTGAGTGAAACAGGCAGTCTTGTTTCATCTCTAACCGAGAGAAATTTGAAAAGGGAAAAACAAAGCATGGATCAGTAGTCTTGTACTTTTATCCTGGCTTCCCCAAATTGCCTTGTTTTTGTCAGGCTTTGGGGAAGGCCTGCTGCTGCAAGGAGAGAAGAGATGGCCTTTTTTTTTTAGGTTTTGTGACTGTGAAGAACATCCTGCAGACTGGTGCTGGCTGTAATCAGTGCAGGATTGATCCAAAGTTCTCTCCTGGAGTCCATGGAGGGCTGTGAACGGCATCCATGTAACCAAGTAACTCCACCTGCTTGGTTTTGTGCATTACTAAACCTTGAACTTGGTGATTTCTCTCCATGTTAAATGTGGTGATGTGTGTTTACCCTGTGGAACTGCGGCGACTCTGTGGGCATTGGCGTGAATTGCCAAATGAATGAAGACCAACATATTTCTGTTGTCCTGGGCCACTTTGCTCCAGCAGAAGGCTGAATGCAACACCGACTGTGTTGCTGCATTGTTGTCGCCTTTATGTCTTGGCCTCTCCTCAAGCTTCTTCCTTCTAGAAGGATCAGGGTAATCAATCATCTGGCTTTTTTACTTGGAAGATCTGACTGTGTGGAAGAAGGAAACCCTGTTGTCCAGTGCTGGGCATATCAAGAATGGCATTCTTGATGCAAACTGTTTTTAATTATACCCATAATATACTTAACCTGAATTTTTGATCTCCCTTTTTGCTTTGTATCCTGCTAGCTTATTTCTGCTGAAGAAGTGCAGCTCCATTTCACTCTCTGGTTTGGATGTGCTAACAAGAACCTGCAGTGCTGCCTTTGCAGTTGACTGGGAGGTTATTTGTAAAGAGGAGGTGTATTTTAAAGCAGGGCTTCAGTTGGTGTGAGAAGATCCACCCAGGAGTGCAGCCTTCTGCTGGTGGGGTTGTCCTGCAGGGCTGGTTGCAGCTCTCTGTGCAAGCCAAGGCTTGCAGAACTGGACCTGCAGCTTTGCTGTGCCTCCCTGTGATTTATGTGACAGAGTTCCCATAGGCACGGTGCTAATTTTATGGTAGCATGTGAAGTAGTGTGATCTGCTGCTTTCCAGTAGCTGCTTGTGCCCTCTGCTCCCCAGCAGGTGGGAGAGGTTGCAGTCCTCTCCTCCAGGGCCACGTGCAGTGTTGGAGACCTCTTCTAGGTGAAATGATGAAAAAGGTGTTCATGGAGGCTTAATGTCACTGGATTCACTCTGGAGATGCAGGAGAAATGAGTATTGAGGGTATCTTTAAACTGCCATGGATTATATGGGTACTCCCCATCAGGAAGATAACATCACGGTTATCCAGGACAAATTTGAAAATTTCAAGAGGAATTTGCAATGGTGGTTGCTTCTGCCACGCTGTTCTTTATGCTGTGACCTGTTAGGGCGTTTCACTGTCCCTCCTGGGGCTGTTTGTTGCGCAGCCTCTTGTCAGGATCTGTCCTTACCTCACTGGTTGGAAATGATCAGACTAATAGATTTTCTTTTTACTGTGGCACATAATTCCAAGTTCAGAGCTTTACAGTTTTGTTTGGGAAAGATCTTGAAGAAAAGTGAGAAGCAATTTAAGAATGCCCCACCTTTATTTTCTCTCTTAATCCACAAAGTATAACATACAACCCTGGCATGCCATTTGTTTTATTCATGGGTTCCTTGTCACAAAGAAATGGTAAGGAGGAGTGGTGCATAAAAATCTCCCCTTTTCACTTTTTTTTTTCCATAATCAGGTTGTTCTACATGTCTTTATATCTTATTTCTAAGGAGATAGAGCGTCAGGGCTGATCCATGGTCGCACGCTGCTGGCCAGGTTGTTTCCCTAGATGAGCAGTCCCCATCTCCTGTATTTATCTGGAATATTTTAGAACATTTTAGCTGTAGCGAAAAATATTTGTGCCAAAGCAAGTGAGCCGATTTTGACAACAAATCTGTTGGGTGTGTGTGCTCTCATGGAGTCCTAAGGGAAATAGAAGTGAGAGTGAGTGACTGGCAGCTCATGCCTGAGGGGAGCCTGTGAAGGAGCACAGTACTGGGAGCAAGGAGAGCCACGGTCCTGCATGTCCCAGAACCAGGGTGGCCGCTGGTGGCCGAGCAGGTCCCCTCCCAAGCATCTCTTCCAGGAACCCATGTTTAGTATTTCCTTCTTAAAGCTGTATCTAAATCCTTGTGCAGTTCATACCCCGGTGTCTGATCAGATCCAGGAACACTGGTTTTGAAAACAGGGAGGCACTTCTAACACTGCTGCTGGGACAGTTGCTGCTCACCAATGATTTTGTCTTCACTGAGCTCAGTGCTTGTCTGTGCTGTGTCACACTGTGTCCCCAGGCAGATCCACGCAGGTTGCTACCCTGCCTGGCCCGTGACATCCCAATATCTACCTTCTTAGCTTTTTTCATACCCACTGTTTGTAAGCATCCTTCCTCCCTGCAGCAAATGCCTGAAGCCAAGCCTGCTTTTGGTTTTCCCTGTCCTTCTTTCTTTTCTTCTTGTATCAATGGAGTGTTGCTTTAGTATGATAGTTAATGCTGTGGAGTAGAGGGGGATGGGAAGGTGAGTGGCTCTGTGGGAGAAGCTTCCCTCCATGACTCATGAGTGAGCTCCCAGTGCCCCAGTGTTCCATGTTTGGGCTGTGCTCAATTTACCATACGTATTTGTGTCTCCTTTCAGGAATGGATAATCAGACAGTGCTGGCTGTGCAGTCCTTACTGGATGGCCAAGGAGGTGTCACGGATCCATCTGCACAAAATGTCAACTCCTCCACTGCCATCCAGTCGATGGGTGAGTCCTGGTAGCACTGGGAGAAGGAGAAGAGAGGCAGGAGGGCTGCAGATCTCTTCCTACAGTGTGTACTCCTGACTGTTGGAACAGCCAGCAGAACAGCTGTACATGCAGGGTGCTGCTACAAGTGTTGTGAGCCCTCAGCAGGACTAGGCAGAGCAGGAGGAAGGGACCAAGTGCCCAAGCGAGCAGAGATGCTTTTGGAGATGGTCATGATGATAGACTTGACCATGTGCTTCCAATAAAGGCATGAAGGGAGGGAGCAGCCACTCTCCCTGCCACTAGTGCTTGTTACGATTCACATTTTTTACATAACGAGCCATTCCATATCCTGTGGGGCTGTACAGCTACTTACTCCAGACATTGAGTATCTCATCAGTGTGAAGAATACGGGAACTGGTCGTTTGCACGTGGACACTCACAGGGCCTGAGTAGGACTTGCTGGGTGGGTACTGAGTTATCTCTGGAGGAGTTACAGTCTGTGTCCCTGGAAATGTTCTGCTTCAGGCTGTGACTCAGACAGGAGGTACAGCCTGTGAGTCTGACTGGATCAAGGGCACAATGGTGTGCACTATGCTAATGCTGCAGATTTCGTCTAGGATGCGGTAACTGGGTTGTCTTCTTTCTGCTTCTAACATCAAGCAGAGGTGCCAAAGACCAGCAGTCTTGTGGGGGGTGGCTTTTGGTTACAAGCTGCCACTGACTCTGCCCTGATCCAAGTTTTGGATCTTCCTTTGTGCAACGTGAATAATAAAATCGGCCTTAGCTGGCATAATGCAGGTGCTTTGGAAGAAGCTGTT